CAGACCTCACTGAATCAGGGAGCCCCAGACCCCCAGGAGAGAACCTTGTCTCAAAAACAAAGGTAGACAGCTCTGAGGAATGACATCCAAAGTTGACCTCTGGCCTGCATGGGTACCGGTACATACATCACATACCCAAAATAGCGTCCAAATGCTTGAGTCTTCGAGTGATGGGCAGGATGATGTCATAGCACATTACTGGATGTTTACTCATCTCCATAACATAGGAACAATAAGAGTGACAGCAGCTACAATTTTATTGAGGACTCTCCCGAGTGCGTTGGATCTATTAACCTCCATAATCTCCCAGGCAACCATTAAGAAAGGTCCTTCTGATGTCTGCTGATTGGGACTGCAGAATTAAGCACTGAGATCAAGTGAGTGTTTGAAGGACTCAGGGCAGGCAAGGCAATGGAGGACGTGCAGGCCATTCATTGCCTGCGTTTTTTCCATTCTCCCAAGTGCTTTTCATCTTCCCTTCCTTTCTGCAAGGCCTGTGGGAGCAGAGTAGGGGGAGACGGGTCTCAGGCTGCCCTAGATCTGCTAAAATCTGATGGAGCCATGGAGCACAAAGACTCAGTTCTGGCCCTCCCAGTTCACACTGTCTTTGTACCCAGCTTCTCGGTCTAGAAACCTGCACATCTTGGGGACACAGCACCCAAACACCTGTCCAGTGTCTGTGAGGTCGCTTAGGTCCAGGCTCAGATCTGGCCCTCCTGGTTCTTCCTCCCCTCTGTCCCCCCAAGTCACCACAAACACCTGCCTTGGGCAGCAAGAGAAAACAACCTCCAGCCAAAGCAGCTGGACCGGTCCAACTAGAAAGAAGCCATAGCCTCTCCTCACTCAAAAAAGGGGAGAAGCCTGAGGGTGGCTTTTCAAACAAAAGGCCCAGGTGAGTCTACTGGAGGACAGACGAACAAGGAACCAACCTCTTGGAAATCCCCTCAAGCTAGCATTACACCCCAGTCTGGCCATCATAATGGGGAACACAAACATCCACAGAAGAGGTCTCCCTGCCTGGTCAGACAGCACAGCTCACAAGATACTCTTTACTTTTCCAGAAGTGTCAGGCTCATGGTTGGAAGCACTTCCTATTTCAAGAGAGGAAACCGAATCACAACGGGAAGGTGCAAGTGCAGGCAGCTGCTTGGTTCCAGAGAAACAGAAAAGAGCTGAGTGGCTCCTCATGATGGTGGCGACAGCCACACACCCTGGATGGGCCTCCTCCTTCTCAGATAACATCATCATAACATCATCATCTTTTAATTGTGTGTGTGTGTGTGTGTGTGTGTGTGTGTGTGTGTGTGTGTGTGTTGCAACAGGGTTTCTTTGTATGGCCCTGACTATCCTGGAACTAGCTCTATAGACCAGGCTGGCCTCAAATTCACAGAGAACCACCTGCCTGTGCTTCCTGAGTGCTGGGCTCACAGTTCCACATTATCAGCACCTTGCTAAAAAAATAAATAAATGAATGAATAAAGCTCCTTTCTCTTATTGCTAGGCCCAAGCCAGGCCCTTGATGGCCTCTGCTAATTGGACCCTACATTTTCTAGAGATGGTGCCTGGCCTTGCACTAAGAGGCATATGATTTGGCTTCACCCTCAAATTATTTCAGGTTTAGGAGACAGAGCAGAGCAGAGGAATGTTCTCTCTCCTAAAAACTCCCTTCCGCAGCAGCCAGACTGCCCAGCATCCCATGGACACCCACTCACTTCGCACCTCTGTTATCTGTGCTGTGCTAACGTTGTCCCATCTGGTTCCTTCCACTACAGGAACCCACCCACAGGCAACCCACACCGCAGCGCCCAGCTTCAGCCTTCCCTGCCTGGTGGAGTCCACAGGGACCTCTCCCTTTCTAACCTCCATTAGCAACAGCATCTCTTATCCAGTCCCTCACATCCCATTGGCTGCCTCAGGCACATCTTACATGAAGAAGGACTACAAGGCCTTTCGTGGGATCAGTGGCACAACTGTAGTCAAATCCTTCTATCGAAAGAGTGCTTTTCCAAGTACTTTTGGATGTTATCTCATTTTGGCAATAGCTCTTTATTGCCTGTGCTTTGCTTCCTCCATTAGATCAGAAGACTTCTATGGGCAGGTAAGAGTAGACTGTAATGTCAGTAGGATGCCTGGAATGGTCCATCATGGGAATACTCCTTTACATTAACAGATGACATAGCCTTTTCAGGAAACTGCAGGAACATTAATGTTCTGCCTGCTCTGCTCCCCACCAACCCTCACCTGGGAGCACACCTGGCACAGACCTAGAAGATGGAGAGGACATCGGCGCCTCAGTCTCCCAGGCTGGCTCTCTCATGGAACGTTTCTGGCTCTTATGTAAAATATACAGGAAAGTATCAAAGAACCAGCCAAGGTGACATCAACATGGGCCAAGAGTCTGAACTCTTCTTGTCTTGGCAGCAATCAGTGAATTGCCTTGTTTTCTCTATTCGTGAGACCAAACAAACGAGGAAAGATGCCTAGATCAACATTCAGTATGGATTCTCCCAAGCCTAGCACACAGGGAACACACGTTTTCTTAGTGGATAAATTGTGAAACTGAGCCGGCACCCCCATTTCCTTGGCTCTTCTGGCTGCCCTTTCCTTGGGAAGCTGTCCAAATCACCCAAGGAAACAGCTTCTCTGGACCATTCAATTCTTTCCCTTCAGTTGTAGTCAATGCTAGAAAACATGGCATTGAGAAGGCAGGGAGAAGCACATGCCCTCCATCAACTTTAAATAAAACAGCTATTAAGAAACCCAGTGGGGCAGATTTGAAGGGCTGGAGTGAAGAATGACAGATTTGTCTTCTGTGGACTTCAGCATCCTAAGGTGTCTGCGCATCCCGTGGAAAGGAGTACCTGTCCATCTTCTGATGGCAGAGAACAGACCCCAGGAATAGGTTTTAGGCCAATATGCCAAGGCTGGAATGGGAATGCTCCAGAAGTGTACCAAGAAACTCACTGATTCACCACTGCCCCTGAAGTAGTGTACTCTGGAGGGTTCCCGGGGAGGTCCCTACCAGCTGGAAGAAGATGGCTGAGGGAGGTTAGGAGACAGAAAGACAAGGGTTAATGGTTAGAGGTGTTGGGTGAAGGATGGTTCTCTTTTATGGGAAGCACAGCCTCTGCAGGGCCATTTGGTATTTCAGAAACAGGTCCCTTTATTCCTCTACTAAAGAAGGGGGCATATGTCTCCTGGGGGAAGCTAACTCCTCACACACTAGGCAGGAGTCCCAGGTCTTCTGTAGTGATGGGAACCAATCAAGCCCTCAAAGGAAAAACTCCAGGTCACACCTAGGACTTGTAACTATGACTCAGGCTGCAAACTACTGCTCTTCAGGCAAAATCCAGGCATACACATCTCCCAGCCCTTGGCTCATTGCAGACAGCTCAACAGCTCCTGGCCTCAGACCCTTGTCAAGGATAGTCAGGGAAAGTTTCTATAGAAGTAACCTGTTGCCCTTTGTCCCCAAGCCTGCAAGCTCTCTCATATCCCATCTGGCTCCTCAGCCACTCCCTGCCTCACTCCCATGACTTTCCCCAACATCTGCCTCATCTCCAAGGGCTCCCAAGAGGCATGCAACCCTCTCTCAGCCGAGGCTTACTGTCTGTCCCTTTCCCATCTATTGAAAATTGCTTCTTATTCAAACAGTGGTCCAACTCAAGCTCCTGGATCTCTTAGGAGCTGACTTTAGTGGACAAGTTTTGTTCTTTGGCTGCAAGTGACTTAATGAGAGCAAAGCACACAGGGAGACCCAGCTCAATGAAAAGGACAACCAGCACTCAAGCAGTGTCCCACTCAAGCTAAGTGCTTTACAAGCATTCATTCATTTAATCTGTACAGCAGCATCTCGGGAAGGTCTCACTATTAGACCCATTCAACAGATGAGACTCTGATGCTCAGAAGTGTAAGCCACAGGCAAGGCTGTCCCAGAGGGAGGTCTCCAGGTATGCTTAACCATGCTTGTCTCTTACCCACAAACAGGGCTCTGCCCCTGACTACAATTACCCTCACCACCTCTCTTGGCAAGGAGAGTGTTGGGGGATGAGTGTGAAGGGGAGAAAGAATCCTGAAGCTGAGAGCTGGTGCCCTCCCTTGAAGGCAGCAGGGTTCCTATGGGATGATCAGGCAGCTGGCAGGTTGTTTCTGCCAGGAGCCATGAGAAGGCTACTTCAGAGCCGACCAAGTCCTGGTACCCTGGAATCAGATTATGGGTGGAATCCCCTCAAGTCAGCCCTTCTAAAAGAGAGGGTCTTCCCTTGTCCATGAAGGAGAGACCACTGATTCGCCCCCAAAACAGTGACCCTTCTGGCCTTGACAGGGTGTCACCAGGCCTTTGTCCAGGTGTAAGGTATATCCTGTCAACTTGCTGACTCCTTGGTCTGCATGAACATTCCCGATCTCCCTACCCCCTCCTTCAAAACAGCCGCTAGCCTTTATTTTTATTTTTCTTCTTGAACGGTTGTAACTCTACCTTCTTCCAGGTGTGTTGTGGATTTACCTTCACAACACCCCTAGAAACTCTGTTCCTTTGACCAATGTCTCCCTCTGCCCACTCCCATCCTGGCTCCATATGGACTCACCCCCAGACCCAGGGTACCTCACTGACTTACTGACTGGTCCCCACCCCAATTTCCTTTCCCTCCCCTCTTCATCTGGAGCTGTGGGTGTATCACTTCACTGGCTGAGTCTCGTTGCCCCAGCCCGAGGTATCCTGGCCTACACCTGCCTCTGTCTTCTCATGTTGGATGGGGAGATCTCCAGCCAGAAGGCTGAACTCCCACCCCTAGTTTCTGGTTGCCGGCAGCGTGTACCCCTCACCTGCAGGAACCGAGGCTCAGGGCCCCAGTCGGGGAACCTCTCACCCCTAGGTGTACTCCCTCTCCCTGGCCTCCCGCGCCGTACCTTGAGGGGCGCATAATCCCTCCCGGGCTGGGGGATAAAGAAGCAGTCAGCGGGAGGGGAGGATGGGGCGCCCCCGAGCCACCGCCCCTTACCGATGGTGGAGATGTGTGAGGAGTGGAACTCGTTGTCGGTGAAGCGGCACAGCAGGCAGGTCTTGCCCACCCCGGAGTCCCCAATCAGCAGCAGCCGGAACAGCACATCGTACTGCTTCGCCATGGCAGGGACTCAAGGGGCCCGCGGGGTTGCGGGCGGCGGCGGGCTCAACCCCGCTCAGCCTCTGCCATCGCGGCCGGAGCCCAGGACGCCGCGGCGGTGAGAAGGAAGCGGCCCGGCCACGGCTCTGGCCTCGCCCGCTCTCTCGCTGGAGCGGGGAAGCGCGGCTGCGGCGGGAGCGGCGCGGGGAAGCTCGCGCTGGCGGGTGGTGGGAGGGGACAACCGCGGCTGCCGCCCCTGCCCGTCCCCTGCGCCGCCGCCGCCGCCGCGGCGGGAGAGGGGGAGGGGAGCGGCGGGAACCCGGGGTAGGGTCCCAGCTCGGCTCCCAAGCCCTAGGGTGCCAGGATCCAACCAGGGTCGGGGAGGGAAACGTTTGCGTCTTTCCACCCACGATCTGAGTGGCGGAGTTGAGATAAGCGCTCACCCAACCCACCTGGCCAACCTTGACTTCCCCGTCCCATCGCTTCTCCTCGAATCCCACCCCAACCCTGATTTTAGTCACTCTGTTGTCCCCCCACCTGGCACTGGCCCCTGCAGCGGCCTGGCCCCGCTTATTGGTGGCAGGTCCTCACCTGAGCTCATCCCTGGTTCGAAGGCCTTCATCAGGGTCTGGATTGGAACGCCCTCCCCTCCACCAACATTCCAGTGTGTTGCGGAATTTTCTCTCATTGCCATCTGGCCTCCCCACAAGAGAGTGACTTGTGTCACGCCATCCCACATCCCCTATTTCTGTCTTAAAGGTGGGGGGGCACCCGCTGACCCCTTTCAGTACATCAGGGTAGACAGATAAATGATCACGTAAAAAAAAATAATCCTAATGCAAAATTATTTGGAGAAGATTCCTACAAAAGTCTTTGGGTTTAAGTTGCTAGGATGAATTCTCAGATTACTAAATATTTCTGTACACAAATGGTACCCAAGAATGAATGGTCCTCTCCAGAGATCCAGTTTTACTACTGCCAGATGTGTTAGCACCTGAGAGGAAAATCAATCCTTTCTGGAATTCAGAAAACTGCCTGATTTTAAGAACTATTAGGGGAGAGCAAGTCTAGTCTAGTGGGTCTTTTAATAGCAATGACTCTGTGTGTGTGTGTGTGTGTGTGAGAGAGAGAGAGAGAGAGAGAGAGAGAGAGAGAGAGAGAGAGAGAGAGAGAGAATTTTTCAGGCTGAACTATATTTCAAGTAAAGTGTCTAAATGTGTATTTAAGAGAGGGAAACCCTAGACCCGATCGCTACTTTGATCGTAAGGCACAGCTCTTACTTAGAGGGCTATCACAGCTGTGGGGCTGGAGCCAGGGCTCAGGGGTTGCTCTTCCAAAGATTCGGTTCTCCACACAGCACACAGCACACACGTGGCTGCTTATAGGCTTCTTAACTCAAGTCCCGGGGGGTCCCACACCCTCTTCCAGTGTCTGCAGGTACCAGGCAAGCATGTGATGCACAGACAGGCATTCAGGCAAAACACCCACACACATAGAATAAAATGTAAAGATAAATAGACATGATAATTAAAAAGAAAAAAGATTTACAGGTGTATTTCTCTTCACTGAGTTTTCACTGGGCTCCAAGAGCCTCCTGGGGGGCTCTGGGGTGAGGCACATGAGTTCTCCCAGGTGTCCTACTCAGCAGCTTTGGAACCTTGATTCTCACTTTCCTCATCTCAAAATAAGGGCATTCAAGGTAGCAATCTTATAAAATAAGGTGCCGTGTAGAAAGGACTTTGTTTAGCTTGGTCCTTGACTTAATAAATCCAGAAGTAGAGAAAACACCATTGGTGTTTTCTTCCTGCTTCCCTGGGCTATAAAAATAGTCCTCAGATGATGGCTAGGGATAGCTTTGCTGAACGGAGGCCTAATTTGCTGTTAATTGTTTTCCCCACTCACCAGTGCAAAGAGCACAGAGCATAACTTGCAGGCAGCCCACCCTATTAGGCACCACGATTAAGAGTACTTGTTGCCTGCTCTGGCAGAGAACTGAAATTTGGTTCCCAGGACCCACACTGGATGGCTCCCAACTGCCTATAACTGCAGCTCCAGAGGATCTAAAGCTCTCTTCTGTTCTCCACAGGCACGTGTGTTTGCTCACATTTGCACACATGTGCACACGCATGAGTGTACACACACAGAGGATACTCATACAACACATACATATCGATTAATACATCTTTAAAAGTGAAAGGAGCCAGCTGTAGTGGTGCACATGTGTGAACAACTGATGAAAAAGAATGAGACAGGAGGATTTCAAGATTGAGGTCACTCTGGGCTATATGTTTACTTGGCAAGGTAGTACATGTTTATAACCTCAGCACTGGGGAGGAAGAGTCTGGAAGATCACTATGACTTCAAGGCCAGCCTACTCTACATGTCAAGTTCTAGCTAGAACAACATAGTGAAATCCTGACTAAATAAATAAGCATCAATTTTAAAAGAGCCAGTGAGATGGCTCAGTGGAGAAAGGAGGCGGGGCAGGAGAGGAGGGAATGGTATTTGCCACCAAGCTTGATAGCCTGAGTTCAATCCCTGGATACCACAAGGTGAAAGGAGAGAAGTGACTCTACTAAGTTGTTCTTTTATCTACAGACACACACACACACACACACACACTCACACACACACAGACACACACACTCTCTCTCTCATACACACACACACAAGAAGAGGAAGAGGAAGAAGAAAGTTCTGGGGCATGGTGGTATAACCCCAGCTACTGGAAAGGATAAGGCAACATGCTTTGAGTTCAAGGTCTGCTTGGGATGCATGGTGAGACCCTTTGTCAGAAAAGACAAAGCTAGAGAGATGAGTGAGCTGGCCTAGCTAGACCGGCCAGCAATAGATGTACAAAAGGTCCCACAGGAGTGAGTTTGTGTGGGTATGTTTGTAAAGTAAGATCATGATCCCTCAGGGCCCTGCAGCAGTCCTGACAACCCCAGATTCCCACCTCTGGCCCAGAGCTGTGAGTATCATGGGATAGAGGTGATGAGATGTTGAGACAATTTAGCAAAAATAATTACAAATATCATTGGAGGCAACAAAGTTGACTTTAACAAAGTTGACTTTAACCTTCACTTAGCCCAGACACACTGTGGGACATTTTGACATCCTCCCCACTTGTATTCAGCTTGGACTGAGGAAGTTCCAGTGTAGCTGAAAAGACATCAAAAGGGTGATTGCTGAAATGATTGCCGATCCCACAAGCCTTCTAGAATCAGTCACTCAATTATACGGACTCATTTACCAGGAAGACAAGTCTCCGAGCTCACCCCCACCCCCACCCCAGCTACACTGAGCATGCTCCCAAGGGCACCGCTGTGGGATCTGCCATAGCAACAGCTGAATAGCTGGAGCGATGCTCGGTGGGTAGCCCACCCACCACTGAGACAACACAGCTGGTCCACAGGCTCTTCATTAGCTTCCGTTTGCAACGTCTTTTTCAGAGTCATCCTCGTGTGGCCAAGCTTTGTGACACTGAGTGAAGTGCTCGCCTTTCAGGAGGATTCTAGCTCAGAAATAGAAAAAATATGACAGACACCCCCACTGTACTTCTACTGCGCACACACACAGCCCCCAGTCAATATGACCCTTCCTCTACTTCTGCTTTCTTGAGGAATAAAGGAGAAGGGGTGGGGGAGGAGGCAGAGTGTCACATTGTGGCTCAGTCTGGACTAGAACTTACATAGTAACCTAGGCTGGCTCATAGCAATCTTCCTGCCTCAAACGCCACGTTCCCTGTGTTGGAATTTCAGGGCTGATCCTGCAATGGGAAAAAGTGACACTGAAATGACAAGTTCTTAGAGATGCTGATATTTTAGGCCCCGAAGCAAAGGAAATAATTGTGGTGGTGATTTGTGCTGACAAAAAAAAAAGATGTTTCCAGTTGTCCTTCATTTCCTGGCCACCACTCTTTGAGCTGCTGTAACAAAGTGCCACAGACTGAGTGGCTTAAAGAATGGACCTTTATTTTCCCACAATTCTGGAGGTGAGAAGTTAGACTGAGGTGTTGACAAGGTTATCCCTTCTGAGGCCTCCGTCTTTGCCTTGTAGATGGTATCTTCCTGTGCAGATAGCCTTTCTTCTGTATGTATCTAATTCCTGATCTCTCTTTTATACGAAGACATGAACCAGGGGGCTGGTGGGAGGGCTTAGTGGGGGGAGATATTTGCTGTGCAAATCTGATAACCCAAGTTAATTCCCAGAATCCACATAAAAGTGGCAGGAGAGACACAACTCCACATAGGTTTCCTCTGATTTCCACTTGTGTGAATAGACACACACACTCTCTCTCTCTCTCTCTCTCTCTCTCTCTCTCTCTCTCTCTCTCTCTCTCAAAAATATATTAATGAAAATATACCAGCCATATTGAATTATACTAATTATCACCCTCCCCCAATGGAGTTTATATAGCCTTGGCTGGCCTAGAGCTCACTGTGTAGACTAGGGCTGGCCTCAAACTCACAGAAATCTGCCTTCCTCTGCCTCTTAGAGCTGGGATTAAAGATGTGCACCACCATGCCCTAGCATTAGCTACATTTTTAAAAGTCTGTATCTCCAGATATTATAAACAAAGAAACCACAAACAAGGTTAAAACAAAGCTCGGACAATGTTTCTTCATCTTGTTTTGCAGTGTTGGGGATCGAAGCCAAGTAAGTACTAGGAAACCACTGAGCTAGACCCCAGCCCCAGAGGGCTTTATTTAGGTGCAGGTTACATTTGCAAGTCTGGAAATCCAAGTTTAGCTAGGCAGAACCAGTGCCTCCTAGAGGGAAGGTGGACCCGGGGCTCTTTTTTATCAAGTCTGACAGTTGGACCCCAAGATAAACTAGAGTTGGCATAAAATTTGTAAGTACATTAGAATGCCCAGGTCAAGTGGCATTCAAACAGGTCCAGCTGGTTTCTCAAACCTTTCAAGGTATTGTAAGATTCCAGAAAAATCAGTCCTTCTAGCAGATTTGTTTCCTCAAGTGATAAGAGTAAGGAATTCTTCCTCCTGTAAGGTCATTTCTGCTATTTGTTATTGTGGTTGTTTTGTTCTTTAAGTCATTTTTACTTGAATTTCTGTCAAAGAAGGCCTCTTTGTTAATTTTGAATAGGGTTTGGACTAGGAGTCCTAGGTTCAGATGGCCACATATGCTTGGGGAATCTACCTACCACTCAGCCCATAATAGGCACCAAACCAGAGAAGCCTCATCACACATAATTTGCTTTAGGAGCTTTAGGAATCACTTCATTCT